ATTTTTTGCAATCATATTGCAAATATGGTAATTAGCACCAGAATATTGTAATGTAAGAAATAAGAGGAGAAAAAAGGAAATAAAGCAAAAGAATTTGATTTGAAATTAGTTAAATTAATCGATAACAGCTTAATATGGCGGAAATAAAAAAAAATATTTTATTTTTTAATAAATTGTTTGCCTTAAAATGTTAATAGTTTCTTGATATCCTTTATCGAATCAGCCAACCGTAGACAATATATTTATGGTCGAGGGTAAGAAAGTGGAATAAAATAGAAAACAAACTTATATTGATCGATAAAGTCCTCCTTAAGCGGAAATAAAGACTTTTCTGTAATTAATAAATTGATCTTTGCTAAACATTCTCTTTTTCTGCAAGTTAGTCTTCGGTTCTTCATTAGTTCCAACAGCTGTTTGCCTGATATTTTTAACAAGTGTTCTTAACTGATGCCCTCTGCAAATTTAGTACGTCAAGAGCTAATCAACGGCAATGGCAACCTTTCGGGCAATGGCAACCCATTGAAACCAATAACGAACCTCAATGACCAAAACGCGTTCCATATGAATTGTATGAATGGCCCACCCGCTCCGGCCCCTCCGCCCTCCGCCCTCAGCCATAGTCATATGAATGAGTGCAGTGTGGAGCTATGGGGCAATCAAGTGTGAAAATTAAAATTACATGCCGTGGTTCGGAATGCCATGGATGCTGCTTCTCCTGCTGCTGCAGTGGCCACATTTAAAGGTTCATAACTTCCAAGTCAATTACGCGGCGCATACGCAAAATCTTATCCACGTTTGGTCTGCTGAACTGTTGCTCGCTGACTGACTGAATTAGAAGCAAGTTTAGGCGTTGGCATTGCGAAGGGTCTGCTCGGATATTCCCTGTAAAACCAAAATAATATATGACATACTATGTTTAACCTTTTTGTCTTGACAGAAGTTTGATCGACTAGCTCACCGCGCTGCTCAAGAGAGTTGTTCTTAACTGAGTTTAAATTGTGATAATATCCTAAATCACAAAGTTATAAATAAATATACCCTGTAAAAACCAAAAGGTTCAAGTAGCAGAGCCCATACCAAACACTTTGCTTTCCTCTTTGGTCTTTTTTTGCCCAAAGAACACACGGAGTATGCTCCATACGAGCAACATACCCCTCACACCCGTTTTACAGGGTATCAAAATTGCACGCTCAAGCATAAGAGGCTCGCGGTATCTGAATTCTGAGTCCTGTTTCAGCCTCCACACAGTTGGGCTGTCTGTCATAACTCACGAGCGCAGCCTCCGCAGCCAGAAGAAGAACCGCTGCGCAGGCGCAGGTGAACTAGACAGGGAGAAAACGCAGAAGCAGCAGACTCCAGGTGGCGTGGGGGGCACCCGCGAGCAACTACTGTGGGAACCGTACCGATCTGCAACTCCAGCGAATTAATTTGTGACGCGCGCTGCATTTGCTGCAAGTCCGATTCTGAGTGCTCGTTCCACACTGTGGCAGCCGGCAGGCAATTTACTCGCACGCAGTGGCCAAGCGGAGCGACCCCAAGGAGTAACCAGGCCCAGACAAGAGCCCACAAATGCGAGCCTCTGTCTGTTAGTCTTCTTCTTGTTTCTTGCTGCACTGTGGCCCAGCTCGTGACTGCAACGTCGTGTGGCAAGTGGCTGCTGCTGCTGCTGCTTCGGCTGCTGCTGCTGCCTCTTGTGGAGGCAACTCTTGGCGGCTTTGGCGCTGGTGTCAAACATTTTGTAATCTGTCACGTCGCATCGTTTTAATATTTTCTGCGGCTATACGAGGAAATGCAGACGCTTGCGTGTAAGAATAGGCGTTACCCTTTGGTATTTATGATCGTTTGCCAGGCACTGCCTTCTCCTCTACCAACACCCCTCCCCCCTCTCACAACCTCTTAGCTCACCTCCCTTGTTGTTTTTTTTTTGTTTGGTTTGTCAGCAGCCGCGGGGCAGCTGCTGCTCTTGACTCCAGCTTGGTAGCAGGTTCATCTGCCCGGCGCTGCATTGCACTGGATCATTTCGGCTTCTCTTTTTTATTATCTAAATCATTATTAGTTTGACCTTCAGCCCGAGGTGTTTCGGGGCGGCTTGTGTGCTTGTTCCAAGTGGGTTTCCTTATCTTATTAATTATGCGCTGCCTGCGAATTTCGACTACTGTCCGTGTGTGTGTTGTCTGTGTGTGTGTCTGTGAGTCACTCGGAAGAGTTGAGAGAATGCTATAGATGGGATTTGACTGGGTTCAATAGTAGCTTGATATGAGTTATTAGGAGTTAGCTTAGGCAGCTGCTGGAAATAAAGCTGATTTACTCAAAAGCCCCCAAAATGAGTTATACGAAGATGATAGATTATTGTAGGGTCTTATTAAGTCTGCAGATAGATACAATAGTATAGAATAATATAGTATAGTACGTAGTATGTATTATATATAGCATAGTAACTAAGATTTTTAAGTCATACATTTCTGGAATATTTAAGAAAGACTTACACATAATTCCAAAGTAGAATAGCTCTTTAAAAGTAACTCTCATACATCCGGAATGCCTGTTTGATATTCTTTTGCCATTTAAGTTCTTGATATTTTAAATTTTAAAATTAAATTTTAACCAACCTTACATTAGGGATTTTATTTCCCATTTTCTCCATTTATTTGACTCCTGTTACGAAACCCCAATTCCTTTACATGCCTAAACTTTGGGCACTTGCAAATTTATATTTTCACAGATTTACAAGCCCTTACAAAATTTTACTTTAATTGCCAGTTAAAAGTTTTTGTACTTTAATTGCCTTTCGAATATAATATAAAAATCTCGACAAGCAAATAAGCTATTTTTAAAGTAGCAATTAACATTTTCTTTAACATTTACTCCAAATGTCAAATTTATGCTCACACACTGTTGCACACACTGATGAGCAGCAGATACCGTTGCAGTACTTAATGTTAATTGCTATGGTTAACATTCTGTTAACCCATATCAATGCTCCAATTATTGCATGTGTCAAGAACTGCAGTGCACTGACCCACTAACTGACTGCCAATGAGACCTAACTGGACAGTGACTCATCACACGCTGAGGAGCAGAACAAATAAAAAAAACATATTCCCACAAGCTGTGCACACCCAAAAAAGAAGTAAAAAAATGAAAATTCTGCACGCCTATTAGCGGGCGATTCGTTAACCCTACTCAAGTGCTCATAAGCAGGCAGTCAGCGGGCATTTAACATACGCCTAACATAACAGCTACAGCAGCAACAACAACAACAGACGGAACCGGTACAGTAGTTAGGCATTACAGTGCCTGACAACCGTTAATCAGGCGCCACAAATCAGACAGCGACAGCGGCAACAGTTAATTGTTTAACAGCAGCGCGCAGAGCGATTAACAGCCCCTCCCAGCGCGGCCCCCCTAGCGCAACAACGGCGCTACTTGGCTCTGCTCTGTGATTGGCCAGCAAATAGAAAGAGTCAGTGAGAGAGTGAGTAAGCGAGAAAGAGATTGGGTGAGTGAGAGAGAGAGCGAGCGCGTGCGACTACATTTGAATTGTGTGCAGCTATTTTTAGTTGCGATCGCCGTCGTTAAGCCAAAAATGGCGCCACAGTGCCAAGCCGCACGTCAAATGCTCTGGTATTTTCCATGGAGCCATCTAAAACTCTCTGGTAACTCTGTCTAGGCGGCGCGACGAAACGCGAAACGCCCAACGCCAAACGCGAAAATATTGACACGATCCAAACGCCTCAGACCTTTATATCAACAATGATACAAAGATAAGTATTATTGTTGGCATTGTGCCTTGGCATAGGCATGAAAATTATAAAGCTAAATATAAATACGAGTCAAATCGGTAAATATAAATATCTGGCAAAACAGCTGGGCCCTAATCGAACCAATATTATAGAACAGGATGCAATGCGTAGGTGGGCGGGTGTTAATTGCCAGAGAGTTAATTAGCTGGAATGGAATATTTATGAGTTGAGCAACAAATAAATACAGAATCGTAAATACCGAATGCGTATATACTAATTGCTAATTGAAGCCAATTGGCAACAATCAGTGAACCAATAAACAACAACAATTGCAGTTTCAATTGAACCAGTCTAACTGTCAGACACGTCTAGATAGAAGAGTCTCTGAAACCAATTCAATCTAGAACCTAGACAAGCTAGCTTGCTTTAAGAATCTTGCAATACTAATTACATATGTATGTACCTTACTGTAGGCCGGAGCCATAATACACATAGCTTCTCATTTACTTTCTTAAACTTACCTTTCTTTAATAATATTATTATTCAGATAAGGTGAGAACCCTTGCTCCACGTGCACCTTAAACAAATACTATAGCATGACACATTAATTCCTATGGAACTTATGGAGGAACTATCAACAACCAGAGCTTAAGGCGAATTTGATCCTATAAACCAAAGAACACATTTTTGATATGGTTTGTCACATCGATTTTTCAAATTGAAATATGAGCCATATCATTTATAAACTTTTCTTAGATATTAATTCTAGAATGTTGATTCATTTTGTATAATGCTCTATTTTAAATCTAAAGATTTATAGCTGCAAAACGAGAGGATACCAACTGCTAAGAACCAGCTCATTTTTAACATTTCTTTAGCTAGCAGAAATTTAAATATCCATTGTACTTTATCAAAGCTGGAAATATATGTTGAACCACGCCTTAGGAACCAGCTCTGCTTGGAACTTAGGGCCTTTAACTTTACTGATTTATTAATTTTTTACAGATTTTCATTGAATATTTTAGAATGAAATTGTGTTGTCTGTTATTGTCACATACTTAACAGCCTTTTAACATTTGCGTCAGAGTTGAACCAAAACAATTCCTTTTTGCAGAACTACGAATATTTGCAGCTACAGTATTGATTGACTACGGAAGCCTTCGAGACTGTGACAGTTACAGTTTTGTTCAGCACAACAAATCATAAGAAAAGTTCACAAGAATATATTTGTATAAGCCGAGAAAATATCCCTTGCAGATGGCGTTTTTAGTGCGCTTCTTTTTAGTTCTGCATTTGATCCTGCAACACAAGAGCTGCGCTGAGGATTTATTGCCTGTCATTATTGATGAGCTCAACGAGCGCCTTGAAATGGAAGCGAACATTGTCTACAATCCACAGTTGGATGAACTGAATTATCTACTCGAAATAAAGCCCATGAGTCAGCTGATTATAAGCTCACCAAATAGTTCCGCACTTAATGCCATGGAACTAATTCAGTTCTTAGATGAGAAATCGCTTTTCGTGCTGCTTGTGGAGACGCCTCCAATTGAGCTGTTCGAGCAGCTGCATTACCTCTTTCAGAAAGCGGACTTTTTGCTGGTATTGAAGGAATACCCAGTGACCGATATTTGGCTGGATTTTGTGCAGCAGGCCTGGGAGCTGGGCTACTACAGGCTGCTGTTCCTGCACACAGGCCGGCAGGGAGCGCTCTACAAGAAGCAAATGTTTCCCCAACTGGAACTCAAGCCGACCAGTGTGAGCAACTATGTCGCAACGCGTGCTCGCTTCACTGATATGCACGGCTTTGAGATACGCGTGGCGGTTTACTCGAATCCACCGCGTTGCCTCTACTATGAAGACGAGTGGGGCGAGCCGGTCTATGGCGGCTATTATATGCGCTTCGTGCGACATTTTCTGGCCACGCACAATGCCAAATTTGTGCCTGTTCACACTCCCAATGATTCGCCCGGACACTGCGTCAAGGCCCTGCTAGCGCGACGTGTGGATCTGTGCGCCGATGCACTGGCTCAGGGTTCGGATAAGACCTTTGTCGTAACAAATGCCATACGCATGGCATATGCCAATATTATGGTTGCCAATGCGAAACCCTTGAGCTCATATCGCTATCTGGTGGCCCCGTTCCATACGACTGTCTGGATCTGCCTTATTGTGTATATAGGCTTCATCGTCTGCTTCATGAGCTGCATCCATTGGCAGCAGCAGCGGCGTTGGATCTTCAGCACCTTTCTGCTGGAAGCCATCAGCTCGCTGCTGTTTACGGGCTTTGCTCTGAAGGATCTGCATGGACGGGAACGATATATACTGTTTGGTGTGCTCTTTATAGCGGGCTTCATCTATTCCACCTTCTATCTGGGCTATCTGAAGAGCATACTGACCACGGAGGTGTTCGAGGAGCAGATAAACAGCTTTGAGCAGCTGCTGGAGGCGAACATCAGCATTATCATAGACGAGTACGACAGCAACCTAACAACAAGGTATTTTCTGCCGGATATGCTCTGGCCGATCATACAGGTGGTGCCCGAAGAGAAGCTGAAGCGGCATCGCACCGGCTTTGACCAGCAATACGCCTACATACTCTTCAGCGATCGCATGGACCTGTACGACTATGCGCAGAAGTATCTGAAGCATCCGCGCATGCGCCGCATACCCATCAACATATTCTTTCTGTACGCCGGCTTTCCCATGCGTGAGAGCTGGTTCTTGAAGCAGCACCTGAGCGAGGCCTGGGCAAATGCTTTCGAGAGCGGGCTCGTGCAGAAGCTGGCACTGGATGCCGACCATGAGACAATGACGTCCAGCGTGGGCTTTCTGCATTTCCTAGCCACTGAGTACTACGAAGCGCAGTCCCTGGGACTCGATTATTTCGTCATGCCGGCCATGTCGCTGGCCTTCGGCTACGGTTTGGCGTTCCTCGCATTTGTCATCGAGTTGACGGCCTGGCGCATGCGCAGGGAGCGGATCCACTGAGGATCCACTGCACCGACTGGGCAATCGTCTTGGCGTTGATTGATTGATGGATGGTTTGATGTAGTGTAGCAGTTGCAGTTGCATGTTCCTTGGCACTTTCTACTTGTGTGTGTGTACGTCTCTGTGTGTAGTTCTCGCAAATAAAGCAACAATCTAGTTACACGGAGAGAAAATTTCTTAACAGCTCTTTGGGGCTAATGTACCTAAGGTTTATTTTACTGATATACCTTTCCTATCCTTCTCTTTTTTTTACCTTTTCTCGTCCTTTCCTTCCTAACTAAACTACGCACTTTGCTTTAAGCTTTATAAAGAAACGATTTAACATTATAGTTAATATTTCTTCCCATACTTATTATTATCCTTCCACTTTGGGCTAAAAGTTTGGTATTTAGACTTTGGCACATCATTCCTATCCTCTACAAATCACTTGGATTTTGTTAGGATTTAGTCCTTTAATATTGGAATCATATTCTCCTTACAAAACTGAGCATTGTTATCCTAGCTCTTTAGAGGTAGGGGATAGAACCTTAATTTTCCTTTTTATTCCTAACATAGTTCCACGTTTCTTCTTCCTTATCCTATAAATATCATGAACATTCTACGTCACCCAACCCTGTCCACGGTATTGCTTTTCCAAAAAAATGCACACTCTGGCTTCTGCTTTATATAGGTTATAGCTTCCTATCCTATCCTATCCTATCTTATCTGCATATACCACATTTTCCACTGCACTTTACTTAACGCATAGTTGACACTCACAAGTCTAAAACACGGCTCTTACCGCTTTGATTTTTCTGCAGCTTATCTAAATATCAACACAGCTCTACAGCGCGATTCTAGACGTGCCTATTTTCTGATTAATTCTGATCGGAAACATGGCTAAGCTTCTTTTTCTGATCTGTCTGCTCACCTATGTAGACTCAAGCACCTTGGAGCTAGGCTCAAGCATAGTTTCACTCAGTCGAGGGCTAAAGAGTAGAACCAATATTGTTTACACGGAAGCGACACAGCCCCTGGATGTATATTCGCAGATCAGCGAGACCCTAAGCCAAATTCCTAGCCTATTATTGAAGAGTGACTATGTTAGGCTGTTCGACAACAGCCTTCATCTACCCCAACCCCTTTTAATGATACTGCCTCAGCCCAACCAGGGGCAAATCCAAACCATGTTCGAGCAGTTGCCCGAACAAAGGCAGCAATCGGATTTTCTGATTGTGGGCTGCGACAATGCTGCCAACTGGCTGCATTTGCTGTCCACCCTCTGGCACCTGGGTTATCCAAATGTGCTCATCTTCAACAGCAGCGATGAGTTGGGCTCAGGTCAGCTTTATACCAGCGACTCATTTCCACAGCAGCAACTGCGCCGCAGCAGCATTGATCATTATCTGTGGGCGCGTCGGCACTGGTTCGACCGACTCGAAGGTTGGGAGGTGCGTGTGGCCCTCTATAATAATCCGCCACGCACCTTGGTCTATCCGGATCAGGAGCTCTACGATGGCTATGCGCTGATGCTGCTGCGTGAATTTCTAGCCCAACGCGGCGCCAAATTCGTGCCTGTTCTGACGCCCAACTATAGGGTCTACTCGCCCAACGATTGCCTCAAGTTCTTGCAGCTCAATCAGTCGGACATATGTGGGGATGTGCTGGCCTTCTCCAACAACTTTAGCTTTACGGCCAGCTATCAGTATTTGTATGGCAACATATTGATACCCTACTCGCTGCCCATATCCAAGAACTATTACATTATAGCGCCCATGCAGCTGAAGACCTGGCTACTGTTGACCCTCTATATAGCCATGATCTGCGGCTTTGCCAGCTTCATCTGCTGGCTGCAGCTGGGTCGCTGGGAGTATGGCAAACTCTTGCTGGAGATACTATCCAGTTTGCTCTGTGTGGGTTTTCGTTTAAACGATATTAAGGGCAGCCAGCGCTATATACTGTTTTGTACCATTTTTCTGTCCGGCTTTATATGCTCCAACTATTATTTGGCCTTCTTGGCAACCATTTTGTCCACGGGTCTGTACGAGCCGCAAATCAACAGCTTTGAAAAGCTGGTCGAGCAGAACATTAGCATTGTCATTGGGGACTATGACAAGACGGTGCTCAAGAGCTACGACTATCCGGACATTCTGTGGAACATAACCCGTGTGGTGCCCTATGATTTCATCTTGGCGCATCGCCGGGTCTTTGATACCAACTATGCCTATCTTGCCCACAGCGATCGCCTTGCCCTGTTCGATTTCCAGCAACAGTATATGGTTAAGCCGCGCATGCGTCCACTGCCCATTGATCTGATGCACTCGCTGCCGGGCTACCCCATGCGTCGCCAGTTTCTATTGAAGTCCAAGCTGAGCGAGGCGCTGCTCAACTGCTTTGGCAGCGGCCTAATGCAAAAGCTGGCGGATGACACCAACCGGCAGACGATACACATTGGCTATCTGAATCTAATACCATCGGAGCCGTACGAGGCACGTCCCTTGGCCTTGGACTACTTCAATGTGCCGCTTATTGTGCTGATCTCGGGTCTAATCATTGGTTTTGTCTGCCTGCTGGGCGAGCTGCTCTGGTGCCTCGTGCAGAAACCCAGCAGAGAGGAGAGAGAACTGGAGTAGGAGGGCTGGAGAACGATTCGAGCATGGGGTAAGTTTTAAGTCTATTGATCCAAAGAAACTATTTATTTCTCTTTAATCTTAACTTAAAATCTTTTCTCAACTTTTGATGAAATACAATCAAGAAATCCCACAATTTGGGTTAGGTTTGACCGCTTTGAAACCCTGTAAAAAGGTTGCATTTGTCTTATTCTTACAAGAGCTTTAAAGTGTCCACGGCTTTTTATTACTTCTGTGTAACTCGTTAGACTCGAGTACTTTTAAATCTCTTTTCAAAGAGAACCACAAATTCATAAACACTGCATAAAATTTGCGAAACACCCTCGAGAAGCTCAAACGAGCGAGCACTTTGACAGCCGACCAAAATAAATAGCACTTGAGATATTTCCAAAACATTTGCCAGCCAAGACCGTAACAATTTCGGTCCACTGACCCGTCACGCCGCCCCGGCCCGCATGCCCGCAAGCATGCAAGTCAAATGATAACGCAAAAACATGCCAAGGGGTGGTGCAGAACCCACCCGACATCCACCCACATCCACCCACATCCAGCCACACCAGGCCAAGCCACCCACAGTTGCTGACTTGCACAAATATTTGCCAAGGATAAGAAATGGAAGATGGAGCGACATAAAAAATTACTTACCGCTAGGCGAAAGGGATGGTGGGGTGTTGAGTGGGCGTTACTTGCAACATTTCGGCAATGGGCGTGTCTCAGCTTTTGGTCTAGCGACACATTTTAAAGTTCATTGAACTGTGCCACAGTTTTTCTTAAGCCACTTGACTCCGTGGCGCCTCGAAGTATGCAACCGAAATGTGGCGACAATAAAGTTTATGCGCGGCGCCAGCCGCAAAAAAAAACGTCTTTCAACTGACAGACACGGCAAATACATTTGTGTGTGTGTGTGGGCGCAGATAATCACCATCAGCTGCGCCAGCCGAGTGCCACAAATAAAATATTTACGAATTATTCCGTACAGGAGCATTAACTTTTTGGCACCACTGTGTGGTGCGACACAGATTCATGCATGCTGCATGCATGCGTGGGTAACGCCCACCTCGAAAAAAATGAGGGCCAGCTCTGCAGCAAGGTCCGGGGTTCGAGTCACGTGCGTGCCTGGGTTCAATATCGTTGCTGTCGACGCGGCGAGAGTTAAATGAAAATTCGAAACGAAAAAAAAATTGTATTGTATATAAATAAATATCTCGCCCTTCGGTCGCTTAATTGCTGATTTCGTGTTTTCATCGCGGCTTTAATCGATTTCGTGCGCAATTTAACTGCCCACGACTGTCACATATGGCATGCCCCAAGCAAGGCATACACTGAAAACAAAAGTCAAGAAATTATGCGCATAATTTCAATATTTTCATTCTTTTTATTAATTTTCGAATATTACCTATTCAGGTTGCTTATAACATACTGTATAATTGGGTTGGTTCTATGCAAACATTTTCTATTATTATCTATTCAATTGAGGTTTAAAAGTGCAAAAGGGCATATATTTTTAAGTTCCGACTTCATTTGTCCGGGTAATTGTTTACGGTATTAGGGCATACTACGTCCAATTATAAAATGATGGCATTCACAAAGTCGAATTCTAAGATTTCATTTCCGAGTAGTCCTTTAAGATTTTTAATGTCCGATTTCGACTGACCAGGACAAAGAGTATATCACAATTTTTACGAAAATGGGGTTAGTCTGGGTATCTAACATTTTTGATGCAAACCGAGTCCAAGGAGGTATATCTTTTTAGGATCGGACTTCATTTAGCTAAGCTATGGACATCCAAAAGTCTCGTCAAATAACTAAAATGGAATCTTTCTAAAATCGGACTATTAGTTTTTAGTTCGAGTATTTTGAGTATATTAAGTCTATTTAGATCTCCTTAAGCTACTTATTATTGCTACAATTTCTCTATAAAACTTTTTCTCATGACTGTTTGATTGGTAATCAGCGCACTACCCAAACCATGGCTTGTGCTTAAGGTACACGCTGAGACGGAGTTTGCGAAACTATGTCGTTTTAAAACTACATAACTCCTCTGTTTACCATAAATATATGTACGTATATATGTATATTAAAATATGCATATGGAACAAATGTTTCAGTTATTTTGTACCAACTTTGATGCGATTTTTTAATATTATTATTTTTACCATAATTTTAGCTCTGGATCTTATAGACCTGTCTACTAAGGGCCTCGGCAGATACATTTTGAAATCGCTTTAAACTCGGAACCACAATGTTCAGCTGCGTGAATACATGCACCGCTTCGTAATCTCATATACCGGCTTCTGATCGTTTGCATATATTTATTATATTATATTATATCATAATATTTTTTATGAAAATAGATTCTTAATAGAAATTTTTGCATTTATTGTAAATAGCTAAGCAAATATAATGAAAAATGAATACAAAATGCAAATAAATATTATGAAAATCTTGTTTTTTTTTTTTAATATGGATATTTTCAAGCTTAGCTTTGTGGGCCTCTGAATTGTCAGTTCTTCATGAAATTTCAGCTAAAATACCAGGCGAACAGGAATCAACAGAAGGTCGCCAAATTAAAATTTGTGGCGCATACTTTCAAGGGCATCAATTATGGGCTGCTTCACAAGAAATCTTAAAAGCGAATTTCAACTGAAGTACCAGGCGAACAGCAATCAGCAGAAGGTCGCTAAACAAAAATTAAAAATTGTGGTGCATACTTTCAAGGGCATCAATTTTGGGCTGCTTCACAATAAATCTTAAAAGCGAACTTCAGCTGAAGTACCAGGCGAACAGCAATCAGCAGAAGGTCGCTAAACTAAAAATTAAAAATTCTACTGCATGCTTATATGAGCATAAATTGCACATCATGTCCAAATACCAAATTTGGTTTAACAGTAGCTGCAGGTGCTGAAAAAAAGGTGGAGGGTGGGGCAGCTGAAAAAAAAGCATACATACATATTTTTAACCATCTTATTGTGCAGGTTGGTTTTTAGGTTCCCTAGGACTATATCCATGGAATGATGGCCAAGGATGCAGAGGTCAACTAGGAACCATTGACTTTATCGTCCTGAGGCAACACGAACTTTGCAAGAAAATACAAAATCCGGTATAGCTCGGATGAATACATTTAGTTTTGGTAGTAAACCAAATAAATTTGGAGTATCTGAATATCTAGAAAAGTTGAAGCCATATTAAGTTTTTGAAAAATTCTAAATATGGAATATCTCGGGTATATATGGTCCGATTTACAAAAAAATTTGCTTAGTTTAACTCGTACTGACCAGGACTTTCGACTGGCATTCGAAATATTGAATTCTAAAACTTTATCAAATTTAAGAAAAATGGCAAGGGGTAACATCACAATTTTGACGAAAATGGGGTTGATCTTTGAATCAAAAATGTTTAATGCCAATCGATTCTATAGATCTCCACGAGTCTGAGGTGATATATCCTTCCAGGATCGGATGTCATTTAGCCGAGCTATAGTCCGTTAAAGTTTTGAAAATGTTTGTATATCATTTTGATGTCTCGACCATATTTGAAGAGACTAGTTTGTTGATAAGTATATTTTTCAGCTTGGGTGAACAGTTTTTAACTCAATAATTTTTCAATTCAAAGATGTAAGTTACTATTCTTTTTTCTGTCTGTAGCCAAACCGATGCCAACAAGTTACAATCGACTTTAAAGTAAACATTTGTTTTTATTCCTGCAGCAGGGCGGCTTTTAATTAAGATTGTGCAATGCGATAAGTGGCAAGTGTTTCGCAAATCGATACGAGGGCATGGGGCGGATCAAACTCAATATAAATCCCGTATTTGCTGCGTTTGGTTGAGTTGCATTTGTGGCAATCGCAGCAGATGCTCGTGTATCTGGCTTTCGCTTCTATATGGCTTTTCGTGGGGGTTACAACAGGCTAGCTATCCAATAACTGAAGCTGAAATCTCGTCACGTCTACTAGCTTTTAAGCATCCGTTTATTGAGGATTCTGTTTAGTTTTTTAATTAAGTATGGAACATTTCAGCTCAAAGATTTTATCCCTAAGTAGCTTAGCTGCTGCAAATCCCAAGTTTCAATATATTTATTTATAGCCGTTATTTTTTTTAAAACTAATAATTTCTTTAACAAATTGTAACTTTTCTTATAATCTGTTTAAAACCCAATCGGATACTATTAAAATCGAATCTAGTTCTTACAAGTAGAACTTCTTATTTCTATAAAAACTCACAATTTATAAAAGTATTCTGAATCTCTAATTAAAAGTTTCAGCTATATTTAATGTCATTCTAGTATTTTTCAGGTAAATTCTAATTCTTGCAAATTCCAAATCTTTTCACTTTTATAGAATTCTAATCACTTTTACAACACTGCTTGTCAAACGCAGAGGTAAATTTTCATCAAAAAAAATAAAAAAAAAATTGTGTACCATTAAATTTATAATTTTCGTGAAAAATTAATAAGAAAAAAACAACATTGAGCCAAACAACATTGGGCATGGATGTTAGTGCATCCACGCCCTCTCAACCGAGAGAGCTGCGACCAGAATTCGCTAAAATGATGAGAATTGCTGGCGCTACACCTGCGGAAATTCGTGAAATGATATCCCTAAATACTGTAAGTGCTTCAAATACTGCAATTAAGTGCAGTAGTAGCAATTTTGCAGCAACGACATGCACATTGACGTCGACAAACTCCATCTACGCGTCTACCTACACTGTCACAACTTCAAGTGGAGGAGTGTGCACCATCCCAAATATTAACTACAAAAGTGTAGTTGCAGGCGCATCAGAAAATAATATCAATGAACTAGGAAAGTCATCAGTGAAATCACTCAGCTGGATGACGACCAAAATAAAACGTAAGCTGCCTTCAAGCTTTCCAAAAGCAAATGGTAAAAAAGGGAGGTTAATTGCATCTCAGATATCGATGGACAGACGTCTAAAGGAGATCCCAATAAACTCAAAAAACCAATTTGCAATACTGGATAATGAAGAAAACGATGATCCTACAGA